TTTACTTAAATTCCATTAGTTTTATTTTCAGCCTTTTTGATTTCTCTCTTTCTCTACCTTTTATCCTATCTTCCCCTACCCTTTGTTGATGTATGTAAAGATGGCCTTGGGACTGAAATATTGTCACACTTGCTTACTCAAGTAGTTTTCAGGGCAGGAAAACCATTACCTTTATAAATTAATGACTTATTTAGTCATATCAGTGTACTTTATTTAACATCATATTTCTATTTAAGGTGTTTAATGAACTGTTTTTATTTAATGTGATAGCCATATTGTAAATAAAGTGGCATTTCTGGAACTCTTAAAATATTGAAGGAATCTCATAAACTTTTACCAAAGAGATACTATTTTGGACATGCTCTTGTTTTATTGAAGTTTTTGTGTTTATGATAAGATCAAGCTCCTTATGATCTTTAGTGCCTCTAGGAAAGTGAATTCTCTCAGTTGTAAAGAGCATGCTGAAACATAAATCTGTAAATACAACAGCAATTCTTGTTTTTTAAATTATAGGTCAGTTTATCAAACCACTCAGCAGTGTGTGTGTGTGTGTGTGTGTGTGTGTGTGTGTGTGTGTGTGTGTTTATCATGAGATTGTCAGTAGCTTTATGTTTTCTTTATACTTGTCAATAATATGAGCCTTTCTTGTCCTAAAAGAGAGGCTTCATAAAACCTTTGCTGTCTTGACGATGGAACTATACTTTGTTTAGTGTGTGATTAGCACACTTTTGAAAATTGGACTAAAGCAGATTTAGTGTGTACACAGGTACTTCTTCAGCATAGATGGATAGCCCCTAAAAGTCTGGGATATTATGCATGTTCAATGTGCTTTTGATTGTGTTCTATTCTGAATATGTCAATATGTATGTCATATATTTTTGTTTATGATAGGGCTCATTCAGAATTTAATTTTTGATTTCTTCTTTTTACTTTAGGACTACATTAGTCCCCACATAACCTGCCAAGAACTTTTCTGAAATTTTCACATTGTTTTTCTAAATTCTAATGTTAAGGCCTTGGCCTTTCTAGCATTTGAAGAGAGAATACTAGTCAGGGGATCAGGTTATGGGTTGTATTTCGTAGGTTCTTTCGCTTTAGTCGAGTTACTTTGTCTGAGCTTTAGTTAACCTAAAATGTAAAATCAGGAGTTGGTTTATTCTCTGAGGTTCTTTCTCAGACTCAGCCATTGTCTAGGATATCTTTCTTCTTGGATCTCGTAGACTGCTGTAGTCAGCTTAATCTGCCTTCCTTCCTGCTCTCCAAAGAAGTTATGTCCTTTCCCTAAGCTCCAGGCATCTGTGTCCATTCACCCCAAAACACTGAATTTAGACTGTGTCTTCTGTATTTCTAAGCATTCTCTAAAATACCACATTTTGCCTTTGGTTCTCTAGAAATGTGGTAACTTTTTGTTAATCTTATAGAATCGGGATATTTGTCCCCTCTGAATTGACCAGAAAACCAGAGAATAGCCTTAATAATGCCTAAATATTATCTTCTGCCCTTACTTATTTGAATGCCTCTAAATCTAACAGGACACTTGGATTAACTTTGGCCAATTTCTGGTCCCACCCCTCCTTCGGAATTAGCTGTGTTGCACATCTATTGCTAAAACATGAATCTGGGAGAAAGCACTAATTCATTGGGTACCATAATTATTCTTCAAATAAATATGCCCAAACCAGAAGAATGGTACAAAAGTAATGACATTTCATGGAAATATTTGTTGACTCTATGAGTGTAGGAGCCTGCCTATCTGTGTCATTTACTCTATCTCCACACTTGATCTTAGCCAAAAGGCCAAGAAGCAATCACTTACTCCATCTCTAGTGCACCCTAGAATGTCTTGTCTAGACTAGGACTTATGTAAATATTTGTTGAATGAGGGAATGAATGAATGAATGAAATTACAACTGCCAAAGTATGGTATAGAAAAGCTTACTTAACTATTAGATTTAGGGTCTTGGAATAGAGGCAGACAATGGAGACCACTATGTGTCTGAAGCCTAATCAATAAAATATAGGGGAAAAGAACAGAAAAGCTTTTACTTAGAAGGTTAGGAGGCTTAGTTGGGGTGGAGGATTCATTTGTTTACTCTGATTGTTGCATATAGCTCAGACACTGATGGAGAGAGTTTACAGCTTTGTCAGGTACTCTGTTCCTTGACACTTGAGATGTTCATTTAGAGGTTGGATGGCTCATCTGTCAAAAATGCCAAATAAGGGAATCCTGAAGGAGCAAGTAGTTGAACTTACTGATCTCTAAGGTCATGTGAACCCATAGTCCTATAGCTTTTACTTCAAAGAGAGCTTGGCCATAGCATGCAACTCTCCTACAGAGGACAGCAAGTGGACAATGAAGTTTTCTAAAGAGAATGAATGAAAGCATTCATTTAGAATGTTTCTTTAGAAAACAATGAATGTTTTCTAAAAAGACTGAACTTAACAGAGGTTTTTCTGACAATATCAACATTCCCAAGAATGTCAAAAGATTGAAATAGTTCTGTCTTCTTATTATAAGAGACAAGTAATGAAGACCACAGAAAAGTAGCAATGGAGGAAAGAGATGGCTATGAGGGAAGTGAGAAAAGAAAGATCAATTATAACATTATTTGAATTGCTTAGATGTAAAATATGGGCAGTCTTTGAATACATCAGTGGCCCTTGATAAGGTATTTATTTTCTTTATTAATATCAGACTGTGAAAATACTGCACCATCAGGAGGCCTTATGTACGTGTGGGAGAAACCTCCTAGCACTCTTCAGTAGCCTCTGAGCTTATAAGCTTTGCATGATAATTGATGAAATCATCTTTGGCATATTGAATTTGAGTCTTCAAAAAATGTTTAAATCATTTATTCAGCAAAGTGGGGGAGTTTTAAAATGATTAAAAATGTGTTTTGTGGACTCCCAAAATTAGCATTTTATTGGGGGAGATTGGTATACAAGCAAATACTTATATTACATTTTGAAAAAACATTTAAAAATTATGATATATCTAACATGCAATGGGAATGATTTGCTTTAGGAGTTCAGGAAGAAAGGACACAGCATCCTTAAGGGATAAACTTAGAAAGATAAGAAGATATAGGTGGTAGATACATAGGAACAGTAGGGAGGCAAGTATCATCTAGAGACTTAGTAATAAGGTTGCTTTCTAATGAGTAAATGATGCAATTATCAAATACTTTTCAGAGCTGGGATGTTAATTTTTTAAAAAACTCCTAAATGTTAGCAAGACTTGGGAAAATATCAATAAATCTAAAGAAATGATGTATTAATATCAATTGGTAGGGAACGTTTGGACAGAAACTCAATGTGGAAAGAGAAGAAAGGGAGATGTACCTCGGCACCCTCCATGCAAACACTGCCTAGAAGAATGGAGCACCTCTGTTATTGTGGTTCATAAATTCCTGATGCATGGTGAACATGCTGGACTTTGATTAGTCCGTTGCTGTTTAAACATTGTTTAATAAAAGAAACTCCGCTTGCTCTGATTTCCTGTTCATTAACCAATAGTCTGATTATAGTTTGCCTTCCCATCTAGATATGTCTATAGAGAGAAAATGTGCTGGTTATGCTGACATGGACATTCTGATTCATATGGTAGTTATGGTTCTCATCATAAACGAATGTAGTTAATTAAGTGGCTTTCTAGTTCATACACATTAGTCTCTTGTGAGCTTAATGTTACTCTGCTGCTGAAAGTACCACTCTGAGTACCAAAAATAAATTTCAGTTCCTAGGTTTACAAAGCTGAGATCCAGACCCGGATGATGGACTAAGGCAAATTCCTCAAGATAAATGTCTCTTGGCTACCAGCCCCATTTTGAGTAGCACAACTTCAAGCCAAGTTGTACAAGTCAGATGTCGTCTGGGGAGACATATATAGGCAGATTTAAGATACTGTTAGTCATCAAATTCTGAGAGAGTAGAAAGGAGGAAGATGAGGCGAGAAGTACAGAAGACAGATTATGAAAGGGTCTGTCCTTTCTGGCAGAGAGTGTTTCATTTGTTTTTAAAGTAAGTTGAATTGAAAGGAAATATCATTTATGTTTCTTTTAGTAAAATATAATTCTGCTTTTTCTAATTCTTAGTGAGTGGATTTCCTTGTTTTCTTTTCAATTCAGATTGGATTTATTGCTCACATAATTTCCCTGGTTTTGTCGTATTTAAGAGGCCAGATGAAGATGATTAGGTTACAGTGTGATGACTGAAGGTGTCATAGCTGGCCATCATGACTTTGGTCCACCATTTAGACATACAATTCTAGTGATTTTGTTGTTTTATTACAAGCCCTATGCATTTGGAATTTCTCTGGTAAAGGAACTGTATAATCATAATGATTTAGAATTGTTTTTACCTAGAGTGGATTCCCAAGTCCTTGTAATCTCTTAAAGGGCTCCTTAGAAACCCCTTTTCATTAAGTATATAATGACAAGATGAAAAGTACCTCCATCTTTCTTTCAAATTTTCATGACTCAAAAGCATTTATGTGGTATGATTGCATTTGAAAACTTAGACTTTTTCTAAAACTATGTTTTGATGGGATAGCAGTGGTAACACTTATTTTTTTCCTCAAATGAAGAAACTAGCATCGTATTTAGCAGTTTATATTTTCTGGTGTTTTACTAATGTTCAGTGAAAGCTCGAAGTCAGTGTCTGATATCAGCTTTTAATCTCTCATTCATTAGTGAGAATATGTTATTAAAATGGGAAAGGATTCTCTTTTCTACTTCTTTTTTTAATTTTTGTTAGAGAATTATTATGATTTCGTTTGCCAAGTATCTGCTCACCAGTTCCCAAACTGCCCTACTGTGGAACTCTGTAATTTTGCCTCAGTTAATGAGTAGATCAAAGTTTTGTTTGGTAAAGCAATGGGACTGATGGAGTCAGATTTCTTTTCTAATCCACTTCTTTTAGTTGGCTGAACAGATATTTCGAGTATTTCTTGCTTCCACTTAATACTAATCAACTTGTTTAATTTCTTGTCAATGCCTTAGGAAAAACATATAAGCATTGAAGAAGAGCACTTAAGGAGGATGGAAGAGGCCAGATTGCAGCTCAAGGATCAACTTCTTTGCTTGGAGACTGAACAGGAATCCATTCTTGGAGTGATAGGAAAGGAAATTGATGCAGCTTGTAAAACATTCTCCATGGACTCTATGGAAAAATTAAAAGTAATCATGAATTTTCATTGCACCTTATATTTTCAGTTAGTTTCCTAATATATAATTATAATAGGATTTTTAATGTCTGGTAGTCAGATTATTATTACAGAAAGTTTTATGAAACAAAATAACATTTTGCATTTCTTAGAACAAGGCACTGGATCTATTGCACAGTCATGGTGAGAGAATGAGTGGTGTTATTCCATTGAATTGCCTGTGTCTCCATAAAAAAAAACAAAAACAGAAACAGAAAAACAGTCTTATAAGAGAGATAGCCTTTGGAGTAAAGAGGCCTGGAATTTGAGTTTTTTACTCTGACAAGCTATTTTTGTTGTTGTTAGTATATTACTGGCTAACATCTATTGAGTACTATAGTATAGGTACTGTAGTATACATGGTACTTTAGTCTCTCCATTATCCTCTGAAACAACCCATTTTTAGTTACTCAGATTAAATCTACTTAAGAGAAAGGGATGTTTGGACAGTTTAAGTAACTTGCCCTTGGCTGTACATCTGGTTAAACGCGAAACTAGGACTTCAAACCTATGGAGTCTAACTCCGGAACCTAAATTAGCAACCACTATGTTATCCGCCTTCCCTATTTAAACAAATTGATTTAATTTAGTTTTTTTAATTTTAACAAATAGAATACTGCTACCCAGTGTATAGTCATATTAAAATAATAAATAAAAACAGAAGTGATCATGGATGCTCTGTATTCCTTGCAGGTAAGCACTTCTGTCAACTATGGGTTTGCTGCTATTTTACATACAGATGGCATTACATTGCTTTGATATGTGTAACCATAATACACTACAGTTTAGCATCATTTACCCCCTACTGCATTTGATATGATGGCGCTCACATTTTGATATTATGCTGAAATGCTTTTTATTTTTCAGGAGTTTCTACGATTTGACATTTATTTGTCTTTTTTCCTCTTCTAGAATGACCTTCCTTTCTCATGCTACTGTGTTCCCCTGTTTTTTTCTTGCTATTTCTCTCTGCCTTCTTTTCTCTCTTAAATTGTGTTTAAGAGAAAATATAATTCTCTTGCAGTCAAGGCTTTTTTAGAATTTGATGTTAATGGAAATATTTTAATTAATAGACTGGTAGAGTTGATGGAATTTTTACAATATGTATTCCCATTTATATATATTTTTAAGTTTAAGTGTTAGTTTGAAAAGGTATGAGTCTAATATGAGAAGTTATTGGCTTTAGGGGAAAAACTAACTTTTTTAGAGCTATTGTAGGGCCCATTATAATTCTGACTTATTTTTTTTTCCTGTCTAATGCTGCTTTTTAAATTTAAAACTCATTACATTTGCATTAATTTGATGAATGTGTAGCTTTGAAAATCCTAATTTTTATCTAGAAGTATATATTAGCAGTGCAATATTTATTCTATATTTAAATGATTGTAACAGGATGGTTTGTTTTCAATCATGTGGGAAGGTAAAATGAAAACATTTGAATCATGTTGTAAGACATACATATATATACACACACACACACACACACATTTATAGGCACACACATACATGCATATATATACACACCTTGTTATGGGCAATTGCAGGCAAAAACATGATGTGCAGATAGCAGATTGTTTAAATATTTTCTTTCTTTATTAACCACAAATTATCCTTCCAAAATATTCCAAAAAGCATCCAATTTTTTATAGGCTTTCAGACATAGAGTGACTGTAGTAATGGGTTTTACACTTCTTCCCCTAGAGAAAGGCTAATTCAATCCAAGTTTTGGGTGGAAAGTAAATCTAAAAGAAAAGAAATTCTATTAATTTTTAAAGAGTCAACTGTTTTTTCTTTGTGGGACTCTTCATTAGTAACTTCTGTTGTTTTGTTGCCATAAACCTGGGGAAAAAAATGAAATGCTTAAGAATATAGCACTCAAGAAACATACTCAAGAAACCACCCAGGGATGTGGTAAAGATAAAATTTATTCTTTGCTTTATAGTTCTGAGAGACTGTGGAAGAATGTAAAATGTTTTCAAAAAAGGAATAATTCCATTTAGTCTTGATTCCTGAAATATTGCTGATGAGATTTTCAGTCATTATATGTAGAGAGAGTAACAGTGCTATGGAATAGATGAGAAAATCAATATGTAATAAATGAGTTTCAGAAATGTCCTGGACAATGTTGATGTTATTTTTAATTACATTTTTCTTTTTCAAGTCACTGTACTTGTTACTTATTCCACTTTAGTTATGGCATGTAAGTGTTTGACAGTGAAATACAGACATACAATAAATCACTATAATTATGAAACAATTAGGAAAGTGTCTGAATTAAAGATGTATCATTCTCATAGGCCAGTTTTTTGATAACTCAAGAGTTCAAGTAAATAGATTAGCTCTGCACTGCACTTATTTTAGTTTCTCTCTTTCCACAAGACTTGGTCTGAGTATTCATTCAGTTTTAGAGTGTGAAGAGGATGGGCTTTGGATCAAGACAGGTGGAGGTTCACATTGGAAGTCATTGCAAATTTCTAATACATGACCTTGGATAAGTTAGTAAACTCTTTTGTCTCTAAGAATTCATGTCCCCAATTATTATTATTAATATTATTATTATTATTATTTGAGACAGAGTTTTGCTCTTATTGCCCAGGCTGGAGTGGAATGGCACGGTCTTGGCTCACCTCAACCTCCACCTCCTAGGTTCAAGCGAATCTCCTGCCTCAGCCTCCTGAGTAGCTGGGATTACAGACATGTACCACCATGTCCAGCTATTTTGTATTTTTGGTAGAGACAGGGTTTCTCCATGTTGGTCAGGCTGGTCTCGAACTCCCAATCCCAGGTGATCTGCTTGCTTCGGCCTCCCAGAGGGCTGGGATTACAGGCGTGAGCCACTGCTCTAGGCCCATGTCCTCAATTGTAAATTCACTCATTGAGAAGATAAAGTCAGATAAGATATAGAAGGTGCATATATATATATTTGAGATGGAGTCTCACTCTGTCACCAGGCTAACGTTCAGTGGTGTGATCTTGGCTCACTGCACTTTGCCTTACAGGCTCGAGCAATTCTCCTGCCTCAGCCTCCCGAGTAGCTGGGATTTTTACAGGAACCCACCACCATACCTGGCTAATTTTTGTATTTTTAGTAGAGATGGAATTTCACCATGTTGGCCAGGATGGTCTTGATCTCCTGACCTCGTGATCCACCCCCTTGACTTCCCAAAGTGCTGGGATTACAGGGTGAGCCATGGCACCCAGCCAGAAGGTACATATTATAGTGTCACATATCTTGCACTTAGTAGATACTCAATGTTGCCTATCATCATTTTGTAGTGCCTATTTTTTTGTAATATGTTCATAAATACATATGGCTTCTCTTTCTTTATATTTTTAAAGACAAATGCCTGTTATAGTGCTCTTATAATAGACCTTGAAGCCTATTTATTGATAGTGACATCTTGATATTCAGTAACAGTGATGGATTGTGTTCTCTGTGCCAGACACTATGCGGAAAACTCACCATTTGTTAAATGGTTAAGGCTATCTTCTTAAACATGAAGCTATAGATAAACCTGTCAAGCAAATAATAACATATGAACATTACTTGTACTTATATCCAGTTATCTTTTATTTTGATATTAAACATGAATATCTTAGGCCACAGATTTAATTGGCATGTATGACATACATGAATGAAAAAGAAAATAATTAAAGTATATTCTAAGCAATGACAAATGGATGTTTGCAAATATTCAGCAACACAGTAGAGAGTTGGAAGAGGAGGGAAATACTGTGAACTAGGGTGATTAGGGAAAATTTCACTGAAGAGGCAGGGAGGACATGAGGATTGGGTGAGATTTAGATAGAGAGAAAGGTGGATGACGGAAAACTGGATATAAGAATACAATATTTGCTGGGCTTATTGGCTCTCGCCTGTAATCCCAGAACTTTGGGAGGCCAAGGCAGGTGGATCATGAGGTCAAGAGTTCGAGACCAGCCTGGCCAACATGATGAAACCCCGTCTCTACTAAGAATATAAAAATTAGTCAGATGTGGTGGTGTGTGCCTGTAATCCCAGCTACTCTAGAGGCTGAGGCAGGAGAATCACTTGAACTCGGGAGTCAGAGGTTGCAGTGAGCCAAGATCTCGCCACCGCAATCCAGCCTGGGCAACAGGCTGAAAAATAAAAGAATACAATATTCATGTATGTGGTATGTGGTAGGCACTCAATGTGCTTTCAGCATTTGTCTGAATGAGTTACAGTATTCCTGACAAAGAAGCAGTGTGCACACAGCTCGGAAGGTATGAAAGTTTTTGAGAAAAGGAATAGACATCTCTTTGTAGAGGGACAGGATATTTTTAAACAGGCAAATTTGAGAAAGAGGTCTTCAAAAATATTATTTGTAGCACAGAGTTCAACGAAAGTATGAACTAAGAAAAAACTTTTGTATTTGCAATTATAAAAGTCATTGCCAACTTTGAATACAGTTATACTTTAGTAATAAGACAAAGCCAGATGCAAGGGATTTTATAAATGAATTGGCATGAAGGAGGTCAAGGCAGCTAGTGTAGATGACCTATGATTGTAGCATTTTGTTATTATTTTGAAATACAAAGCATTGTTTGTGTGAAGTCATGTCAGTGAGTTTCTGTCTTGATACCACTGTTGAGACAAAATGTCCCTTTTAGTGTTAAAGAAGGATAAGTGAGAGAACGAATTGTTTCTATGTAATCACATATAACATTTTATGAAATACATTATGTAGAAAAAGACTGAGGAAAAGAAACAAACAAAAATGAAGTAAACTGACTTTAATTGAAGGTGATTGCCATATGGAAGTCCATAGAATCAGCCTCCACAGATCCTAGCAATGATAGCGCTTGATAGTTGATCTTTTTGTCAAAGTATTATTGCTAATACAGAAACTAATGACTACATACATAAAGAGTCATATAAATGAATGGTGGTTTGGAGCTGATTGTGTACTTAGGGCAAACTTTTGTTTTTTTAATCCTTAAATTGTGTGACTAAACTTTTGGATGCTGTGGTGAAGAATTTCATTTATATATGTTTATGTCAGAGAAAAAATGTGTTTCTGATAGACTCTTTTCTCTTTTATAGGTTTTTTCATCTGGTCCTGATATACATTATGACCCACATCGCTGGTTAGCAGAAAGCAAGGTAATTAATCTTTGAATCCTAAAGTTATTATAATATTTATGATCTTTAAGCTATCCTATTTGGTTTAGCTATTTATTTTGTAGTGTAACTAAGCATATGGGGCTGTAATACTTAGTTGTAAGTAAAGAGATCACTGCAGTTCATTTACACAACCTCCATGTTTTGTATTTTAACATCTAAAAGTTAACTTAAATATATAGGCATAGAATTAGAGAATGAAGGAAAATAAAACTGTAGAAATATTAAGAACCAGATTATAGATATAGGTGAACACAGAAGGAACACAGAAGAAGGAAGAGCTAATTCTGTTGTTTATGCTGGGAGAAAGGTATGATGCTGCCAGCATGTCATAGACAGCTTCTAGAAAAAAAGCAATATTTAAACTGGGTTTTACAAAAATATCGAGTTCTCCAGTTAGCTAGTTATGGGTAGAACAGTGGCATGAAGATGAGAATATTTGAGTAAAATCACATATAATGCCCTGAGATTGGTGAGTAAGACATGGATGGGAGATGATAGAAAGATAAGATTTACCTTTGAAGGCCAACTGTGCATTAGAGAAGCCTACTAAAACAAAGCATTCTTAACAAGAAAATAAAAGTATAGTGATTGAACATTAGAATTTTGTTCTACTGCTTTACCAACAGTGAACCTTTGCATTTCTAGCCATTTTTGATAGAAACAAATGCAAATTTATGTTTATGCCACCTGAATAGGCAATTTAGAATATACATGTTTTGCTGTCTCAGAATGTTTTGGCCAGAAACTTTGGTTGTGCATTGATATTGCATTTCTCTTTTTTCTTTTTCTCAACTTCACAATTCTGACAACAAGAGCAATGTACTTAGAATTTTTTTCAAGTTAAAATCTTTATCATTTCTGAACAGAAAGCTTTCACTGCTGTAGTTCAGTTAAATTATGAGAGCCAGAGATGACTTAATCATAGCTCTTTAATTTGGGAGCTAGTGAGTAGTTTTCCCTTATCATTTAATGGGATTGAACTTCTGATCAGACCAGTTCTAATACTGCATGAGACAACTATTCCTTCTACAGTGTAAACAGGTTGTGATAAAAAATACCATGCTGACCAACTGTCTAAGGGGGAATTGAATCTATTTGCTAGAAAGATGGCTTAGGTTATTGATGGGTTACAATACTGTAATTCCCATGAACTATGACTGGACAGCTCTATAAGTATTGAAGATAAGATCTGAAATCAGAAGACAAAAAGCTATATGGAAAGTAGAATTGCTCTTCAGATAGTCCATTCTGACGTCTTGCAGTATTAGAAGGACCTCTGAGGGCATTCAGTAATTGTTTTCATAAATCTGCCAAATGAATTTGTTCTGTTAGCGTTAATTCTAGAAAACAAAGATTGGGTGAAGATTGCATCACAGCTGCCTTGTTGGCACTGGTGGCATAATAAAAATATGAAGTCCAACTAAGAGTTGGACTATACTTACAGGTAAAATAGCTACTGAATGGTAATAATAAGAAATTATGGGAAGGAAGAGGGTTGAGATGGTCTGTATTAGTCAGGGTTCTCTGGAGGGACAGAATGAATGGAATAGATATATTTATAAAGGGGAGTTTATTAAGTATTTCTTCACATGATCACAGGGTCACACAATAGGCCATCTGCAGGCTGAGGAGCAAGGAGAGCCAGTCCAAGTTACAAAACTGAAGAACTTGGAGTCCGATGTTCGAGGGGAGGAAGGATCCAGCATGGGAGAAAGATGTAGGCTGGGAGGCTCAACCAGTCTCTCTTTTTACATTTTTCCTGCCTGCTTATATTTTAGTCATGCTGGCGGCTGATTATCTTATGCCCACCCAGATTAAGGGTGGGTCTGCCTTTCCCAGCCCACTGACTCAAATGTTAATCTCCTTTGGCAGCATCCTCACAGACACACCCACAATCAATACTTTGTATCTTTCAATCTAATCAATTTGGCACTCAGTGTTAATCATCACATGGTTATTAAGGAATGCCAGGTAAGCAGTTTCCACGGATTAGGGATATGTTTTTGTAATAAGTTCTGAGAAGGCATTGTAAGGCCAAATTTTCTTCAGCTTAATGGAATTTACTGAGCAACTACTATGTCTCAGATGCTGTTACATGCCATGGGCATTAAAAATGAACAAGATACGGTCCTGGGCTTTAGGAAAGACAGACACATGTACAGATAATTTCAGTCTTGTAAGTCAGAGCTATAATTAGAAGTGTGCACAAGCTGCCATGGAGGCGGATGTCCCAGACGAATACTGACACCAGCCAGGTCAAGAGCAAAGAACAAGCATGCAAAGACCAAAGTTCTAGGAAAGGCTTGGTAGAGAAGCAGTTTGATGAATGCAGAAAAGCTGACATGATTTGGAAATCATAATATATGAACGTATGACATAGAGAATGTCTATGGAGGATGGGGCTCCAGGCAGAGGGCTTAGGTTCCTCCAGTAGAGCATTGTTTGTCATTTTGAGGATCCTGGATTCAGATCTACATTGCATGGAGAATCACAAAGGAGTTTTGAACAACAGAGTGTCATGCTTATATTTATGTTTTGGAAGCATCATTTTGGTAGAGGTGAAAGGTAGTTTGGAGTTGGGAAGACTGGAGGCAGCAAGACCAGCTAAGAAGGATTTGCCATATAGTAAGACAGGGTGAGAGTCTGAATTGTTCAAACATTCAAAGGAAAGGACTGATTGTAGTAATTTTGTTGACAGCATGCACATGATGAGAGATGTTATATTCCAGGGTGTTGGAGAAAGAGATTTCCAGGACTTTCTAGCCAAAGTAGAAGACTCTAGTCAGGGATTAGTATCTGAATAAATGAACATGCAAATTCCCAGACAGGCAAATTCATAGCAGTATTGAAAGAGTTTCCACCAGAAAGATGGATTGTCAGAAATTTCTCTTTGGACAGGAAGGCCCCAAGAGAAGCAAGGACAAATGCAACATCACAGTTTTTGTTCAAGAAATGAGAAGCAGCAAAGATATTCACATTGAGATAGTAGGGACAACATGTCAATCTAGAGCAGGCCGGCACTCTCAGATGGGACCCAGAGACTAGAGAGAATCACTGTTGAGCCCGCATGTTAAATTACTGTTTTGCCATAGAGAATAAAGAGAAGCTGGTGTTAGATATGGGATCCTGAGTGCACTGTTGTTCATGAAACACATTTAATTGCAGGATCCAGTATTATTTATTCCCTTGAGGGACAAAAAGGTGAATTTATATACTTTCTTGATGGTATAAAGATGTAGTTTTTTTTTTTTTTTCTTGGCCTTTGACCCATTGTACTGGAATTCCCCATTTGCTTCTGTTTCGTTAGTCTGTAAATGTTACTAGGGAAGATCTGTGCTTATCCTGTTCCTCATTACATCTTTAGCACTTATCACAATGCCTGGCTAAATGTTCATTAATTTTTTTAAAGAGTAATTATATTAGGCATGCTGCATTTTCCCAGTGGAGGCACTTCCTCAACTTAAATATTATAGAAAAATAAATAACAAGCAGATGAGATTTCAGTGAATATGTTAATTCCCAAGTACTGGTTTTATTTGATCATAGCTATAAACTTGGAGATTAGATGGGTAAGAAATATACTTTCAAATTTAGAGAGATGGTTTTTTTTTTTTATATTGTCTTGTTTGATATCACCCCAAGAGTCGCACTTTTTATAGTATAATGTATTCTAGGCACTAACAACTTTTTGCTTTTTCATACTGTCCAACTGACACAGCTTTAGAGATCATGTAATTTGACCGCCTCATTTTGTAGGCCGAAGTAACTGAGGCCCAAGATGTTTTTAGTTTTACCTAAGGACATAAAGCTAATTAGTTACTGAGGAGAGCTTAGACTTCAGGTCTTGGAACTCTGTTTCATCATTTCTCTTCCTTGGTTGTGTAATCCACACTTGAGTATAAACCTTATGTCTTTTTATTGATGTGGATTTTTTAAAACATTGTGTGAGAAGTCTTAGGCCTAGTGTATTTAATTCTTGTTAATAGATGTGGATAAATATCTAACATTTTATCCTTCTGATATAGAAAGGAGAATGTTATACTAAGTATCTTGGCTGATTTGTTGGAAATACAGATTATTTACATGGAATATTTTCAGTTAATTGAACAGAAGTATGTGTACTACTGTGGATATTATTTAACTTTTTTCTTGTTCTATATGTATAACAGTAAAAAAGTGGAGAAAGTGTTACTGAAAAAATTACATATTTTTAGGTTGACTTGTATTTGAATTTTGCATTTCTAATTTAATTCTTCTTTTGGTGGCTGACCACATTCTAAAAAATTGCCATCCTCTTTACCTCTGGTTCTTATAAAAACATTTTCTTTCAAAATCTTGTCTAGAGCTTTGGCAAAAGAAGCATAGTAATTAAAAGTGCAAAATTCTAAGTCCTAATATTATTGCTATCTTTATAAGCTGTAATCTATTTAAATTTTCTCTTGTCCTTAATTTTTAGCTTTGAGTCATTTCCTAGTGGCTTTAGTATATTATTACCCTAGGACTCAGTAGAGGATTCTCACAGATTAAAAAGATCATTTTGGTAGTTTTACTAGACACTTACTAATATTCCCATCTAATTGCAAGCTGTCAATACAAAGGTTAAAAAACGCCATAATCTGGGTACAGTGGCTCACGTCAGTAATCCCTGCACTTTGGGAGGCTGAGATGGGCAGGTCACCTGAGGTCTGGAGTTTGAGACCAGCCTGACCAACATGGCGCAACTCCATCTCAACTGAAAATACAAAAATTAGCCTGGCTTGGTAGTGGGAACCTGTAATCCCAGCAACTTGGGAGGCTGAGTAGGACACTCACTTGAACCCGGGAGGCAAAGTTTGTAGTGAGCCGAGATCACGCTATTGTACTTCATTCAGCCTGGGCAGCAAAGCGATACTCCGTCTCAAAAAAAAGGGCTGTATTTACAAATTCATTCTATATCTTGGTTTTTTAAGCAATGCTTGTTGATGTAGTTAAATAAATGA